TTTCTACGCGACTCGGGACGCATTCCTCAATGAGTGCCCCATGTAAATGTAGGAACATCATTTCTCCCATTGTTATCAAACTTTGGGGAGGGCGTTATTTCTCAACGCTAATTGGGTCGCTGACTGCGGTCACAGTCCAACACGACGATCTACCTATTAAATAGGTCCATCAGAGAGACCTCGCTACTGAAAGGAGCTTGCACGGTAACATCATCATCATCGTCAGTTGAGGATTCCTCTAAGGGGCGGAAGCTGAGCATCGGCGGTGCTGACAAAAACCACTGAGTGCGTCGCAGCAGAGGCCTGGGGTCGGCTTACTCTGACGATCTTGTCGAAGCTGGGGCCATTCCCCGGGCTGTTCCGTGAGCATTCTTTGAGCACACATGGCCAGAGGTACTGCAGCAACGCCATCAATAGGGATAGTCGTTGTGCTGAAGTTATGGTATGGAGACAACACAACAATAAAAGTGGGTACCTCTGAGTCTCCTCTCCTACTTTAGTGACTTTCGCTTCTACAGCAGTGCCGTACTTATTATGAATAAGTACCGCCGACATAACCACAAGCATCTAAAAGAGACCGTCCGCACATTACAAAGTCGCTGCCCGCCCTACCTTCCTCCCATCCTCAGTTGCAGTGACTTCACATATAATAGCAGTACCACCGCTGCGTACCCCACCAGCAATGGGCACCTTACTCGACTGTGGCCGCATCACTGAGCGTGTTGTGCCAGACAAGGACCTGATCAGTGATCGATTTCCTCAGCTGAGCTCAGGAGTTTTCCTACTAATTCTACGGATTTCCATACAAATTTGAGTACGAATTAGTATCTCGAAATTTTCTCAGAATTTCCATATTGTGACCGACATATGTAGCACGCTGCACATGACCATTTTCAATTCCCTCAAAGAATAGTTGCTCGGCTTACCTCTGCCTTCCTCCACCCCCAGCAGGCTCTATGATAGCATACGGCTCGAAGCCCACCACATCAGTGACAGTACCATCATCAACATAGTACAGGTACTTACCTACACGATGTGACAGAGGAGTGGTACGGAATAAATCACCCTTTCGACTTACCCTTTCGATCCAATGGTATTTTCTCTTGTTCCCAACCGTCACCCTTCAAACTCACAAAGGCCCTGTCCTTGGCCATTCTCGCGTTATTGGTAGCAACATGCACGCTGATATCAGTGAGCCTTCGTTCCTCACCAACACCAATTCTAACCGGCTTAGTCGGCTCCTTAGACCGCCCCTCATGATCATGTGTTTCCCACGTCACCAACAGCTGTGAGCCACTCAGGTTCCTAATGCTGTATGGGGCGTACT